CATGTACGCATACATACACACACACACACACACACACACACACATATATAGATGAATTTGAATACACACACAGATACACACAACATACTACACACAGCATCATAATACACAGGCCTATATGCTTAAATATATAAACACACAGTCACATACCTTGATGAAGGCTACACCTTGGCCTTCTTTTGCCTGCAGTGCTTCTACACTATCCACATACTGAGTGTCCTGTGTGTGCTGCAGATACACACTTCTGTCATTGTGTCCAATATCTTTAAACTTCAGGTCTCCGCTCTCTGAGGGCCCATACCACAGCTCCTTACTTAGAGGTGGCCGCATATATGGCAATTCATCCTCATCACCAATCATGACTACCTTTGCGTTCACATCCTTCTCTAGTATCGTTTGTAACGCCGAGAACGAAGCCGTGCCGGCCCCAACGAGTACATAAGGATTCGTAATATTTTGTGACGACGCAACTGTTTTGTTGCTTTGAGTCGGTTCTTCAACTTCCACTTTGGCATCATTCTCAGATTGGTCCTCAGGTAATATAGCAATAACCTCCTCCGCTACCTCCTTTACGACCTTTGGTAGACCAAACCATGAATTGGGCGACGATGATATCGCCGCTGCTGCAAGAGCCACAGACACACCACCGACCAAGATCATCTGATTACCAATGGGACCTTGTGGCACTCTGGAGCTTAATGCGCGACGCGGTGTGATGTGTGTGCGGGTTGCCTTACTAAGAGACCGGCCCAGACTAGGGCCGATACGTGTACGGACACTTAACCACGACATGATAGATAGCACGTATTTATGTCTATGGAATCGATGCTATACGGTGCATTCGCCTTATACAAATTTCAAATGCACGACAAGGGGTGTGCGGACTGCGGACACCCCAGGGCCAGATGGGGCCAGCCTGGCCCAGCCTCCCATCCCCAGGACCCCGGCACAGCGGCAGTCTGCGAGTGATGACTGATGAGTCATCCAGTCATCAGCTACTGTGCCCAATTGGGTAATATGTAGTATCCGTCGTGATGTATGTATTGTTGTGTGGATGTCTCAAACTACCATGTAAATTTTGGCGGGAAGGTGTCGCAAATAGTGTCAAAAAAAGGTACTATATATATACATATTATAATCATAGCCTACTACTTGAAGGGACCACTGCTAACTCCACATAAGGCCCAGTACTCAGGAATTCCGCAGTCCGCCCATTGTGCGTCGTCTGTTAGTCAACCAACACCACCACAAATGTTTTATGCGAGGGTGAGGTCGCTGTGGTACTAAAAGCCACATGAACAAGGACTGCACTTCTAAATCAGACAATAAACTCGAAAAAGTTGAGTCAACGAGTCAGTCACAACTCACAAGAGTCAAGGAGTCGAGACTCGAAGTCGAGGGCCGAGCCTCCGAGGCCCTCTGCACCAGACGCATCACCAGCTACAGGCGGTGAAAATTTTAGGGTTTAGACCTTTCGTTATGTTTCTCTTTTGAAGTAATGCAGCAAGTAAACATCCATACACGATGAGGATAAATCGTACATCGTCGGGAATGGTAGATTGGCAACTAACCCTTCACCTATGATACAAGTTTATCCTAATTGCTATTGATCTCTGCAGTTGTCGGACTAACCAGCAGCGAGGGACACCGTCTGCAGAGAATACGAAGTTGGTCACTAGTTCAGCATATAATAGGCTTGGTATTCTATCAAAACACATGTTCCTTCGGCCTGTCGATTGATGTACAAGTACACGTACTAGCACGCTAAATCTGTACATTACGAACGCATAATATTGTAAGCGGCCAGTGGGGAAACTCAACTCCTTGATCCGCCATCACCAGCACTTCCTCAGTGCATTGTTCGTGCTCAGTATGTCAATATTCATCTCTAAGACTAATCAACTAATACAGACAGCATAAGTAGAAATGACTGTCCGCAGATTCGAAGAAAAATAGGTGGGTACCTTGCTAGGTTTGTCAATGTGCACACCAAAGACTTTCAACAAACACGAGGTGTTAAAGAAGAAAAGAATGGCTACCACAGGTTCGAGAAATCAAGATGACATGGTACAACGATCAAACCGTACGCCGCAGGCTGGTCACACAATCTCGCAGGTGCTGAGGTTTAGCATACTATAATTTACCAGGACCTTTTATTTTCTATCTACAATACATCTGTAACGATCTAGGCTGAGCTTCTATACTGTTAAGCTGTATCATCTTGACCCTGGATATACGGTCACACAAAGCGTATTATTTAATACAGCTGTTGAAGTATGTCAATTGTTTAAGTATAAACGCCCTAACATTGTTTTATCTAGAGCTTTGCATCGAAGAATGGATGCCTTAATGCCTCAGACGCTGTCAGTCGATCTTCCGGTCGATACTTGAGAAGATTTCGAATCAGATCCAGAAATTGATTATGCTCGTCGGTTTGTTCGTGCATGAGAGATTTCAGCGTCCTGCACTGCTCCACATACCTATAGATGAGAGTAGAAGTACGAATAAGAGTATGCGCTAATTTAGGCCATTGCATCTTAGTCTGTTCTGGGCAAAGTACTGATATATACTTACATTCACGGAAAATGAAAGCTCGTGAGGGACCGCACCTCGCGTAGACCGGGTGTTTCAGATGTACATACGTTTATGAACACTACAAAGTAGAAACCACGCAGCACGTATAATGAGCCTATACAATATCAGTAGCACGCCAAGTTGACAACTTGCGGTAGCAGATCAATTATCGAGCATTAAGAAAGTGTTATAACATACTCTATAGCTTTGTCGTCCGGTGCTTTTTCCGGCCACGCCAACCGTTTTCGAGAGCTGTCTAGCAGTTTAACCTGAAAATAAACAGGAAAAAAAGAAAGGGTTTGAGTGAAAAGATATACTAGTTAAAGTGACGGAATGAAGAATATTACGAGTATTCCACATCTCGCCGGCTTATGATTATCAGTGCCAACCTCTGAGGCGTGTGCGATGTACATTCATCGATGGTGGACTAAAAAGAGACTTGGATGCGTAATCACATGGTTCACCATTCTGAGTAAATGAAATCAGAGCTAGACAGATCCATACCTTCTTAGTGTCTTGGAGCATGCTTGACGGCACACGTTTCTCCAGAATAACCTCCATCATCGCCAGATGTTCAAGACTATCATGAGTTTGAAACAAGGCATCGCCGGTGTAAAACTCAAACAATATACATCCGACACTCCAGATGTCACACGGATAGGACCAGCCCAATTCCAGAATAACCTCAGGAGGTCGGTAGTGTCGTGTGGCCACAATGGCTGTGTGGTGCTGATCTTCCCACGTCGCCGAACCAAAATCTATTAGCCGGATACTGGGGTCTCTCAAAACTTTGACTGTCCTTGTGGCGCTTTTCTTATCATCCGGATTATCAGAAGCATCGGATGCCACATTCTTACGCAAAATATTATTTACATATACACTCGTGCGGTCCCTCTCAGCCTTAGATGTGCTACCATTACTGCTGGCCTCACGATCGTCATACAGCACGTCCCTCTCGGTATCACTTATACTCCCACTTTGACCTACAACGTCCCTACTTTCCGTGGCTTCATCACCGTGTCCGCCGAGGCCTTCAGTCAGACTTTCAATTCCATGCACTTCATTTGGGCTGTCTCGCTCACTGCCACTCTCACTGGCGCCATTGCTATTGTTGCTGTAGCGCTTATTGTCATCACTATACCCCACATTATTCGGACTGGGTAGTGTGAGCTCAAAGTAATCGCTCGAATTAACAAACAGAATATTTTCGGGTTTCAAATCCGTGTGAGTGAGTTTGATGCTGTGTATGAATTTGACAGCTTTCAACAACTCACGCGCCATGCTTTGCACGTGATGAAACGGCAAGCCTCGGTAGCCGTTATCCTTAATGAATTCATAGACATTCTCCCCGAGCACTTCGAACACCATGCACATGTGATTCCGATGATCAAATGACGACAGCATATGTATAACCTCGGTGTCGCCTCTCGTATCGTGCTTTTGCAGGGCTTCCAGTATGGAGATCTCTATTTTCGCCGCGTCACGATACTTAGGAACATTCTTGATCACCTTGACGGCGACCTCTCTATTCAGCTTGGTATCATGACACGCTATCACCTTCCCGAAAGTCCCCTCGCCCAGTTCTTTAATTATTTTGTATCGCTGTCCGTGTAGGTAATCGCCCGGTATAACAATAAGCCGGCCTTCCGCATCGTCACACGACTGCCGTCGCTTCCTGCTTTTCCTCTTGCTGCTGCGGCGCGTGTCGGTTCCACTGTGACTGTCGCGCTCGCTGTGGCCCGTGTAGCCCTGAGCGCCATCGTGCTCACGGCCCCTCTTAGACGTTGTGTCATAGTCCCGTCGGCGTTTCCGGCTGTTTACTTCTCTGCTGCCATCTCGTCTACACTTACTCGTCCTATCTCTCCCATACCTCCTGCTTCCCCCACTCACACCCGACCCCGAGTAAACATACTCGGCCGTACGCCTTCCGTTCCTGTCGTGGTAATCATTGCGATCGCGGCTGTCCCCTCCTCGACGCTCTTGCCTGTGGTTTGCCCTCTGGATATCGCTAACACCGCCATAAGCCGTGCCATTGCGGTGTGATTCTTGTCTGCCTAGTTTTTTGGATCGACTTCTATATCCGCCCCTGTCCCGACTGCGGTCTTTGCTCCTTCCCCGCTCGCGATCCCCGCCTCTCAGATACGACGATCTGGCTGAGTACTGACCATGCAGTACATTGCTGTTGGTACCATCCTTACCATTGTACAGTCTGCGACCATCATCCAAGTCACATTCACTGCCCCCTTCCCGGTCGCGTTCCCTTCCCCTGTCTCTGTCGCGGTATCGATTCGTGTCCCTGTCCCTGTCTCGTTCCCTATCTCTCGCCCTGAATCTGGGGGGTGTACGTGATCGATAGTCTCTGCCACGCCTCTCTGGTGTCCTCTCGCGACTACGAGCCCGGCTGTTTCTAAGAAAACCAAGTTAGGTGAAATTAGGCCCTCATTGGAGTAGTACATAGGACTACGAGTGCACAATGAAGCTGCAGAAATGAGGCTTCCAGCCTTATAAACGCGAGATGTTTTCTGCAAAAGTATATGCATACAACATGTCCTGCATCACTCAAGACATTCGTACTGGACAACACTCGCCAAATCATACTCGGCTGCTCTAGACGTGATCAATGCTCCATATACACGAAAACGCATGATAAAACACAGATAGCTGTTTCGCAACGAGTGTAATACACTATATCACCTTCAAAGCTCCTAACTGACACATACATATGTATATACGCAGAGGAAAGTGAAATAATAGATATGGGATACATAATCATCCCGCTGCACGAAATATAACATCCATACCACTATGTTTCTTAAAGGTAAACAAATACAAAATACTACGTCTATGTCAAGATATGTCTCAAAAATGTGCGTGGACATATAAGCATGCCCAAGTATATATCAGTATAAAAACCACCAAAACATAAATGATTTGAACAGTATCAACATCCACACACAGAACGCGCGTTTAATATATATATATATATGTGTATATAAATATATACATACATACAAATACATCCACATATATAAACACCCACACCCACAAAATATTATATACAGTTGTCTAGAAAGGTATAGATATTATATAGATACATACAAACACACATACACACACATATATATATATATATATATATCTCTCTCTATATATATATATATATAAGGTAATATAGATACAAACAAGCAAACATACAAACATATATATATATTGGCAATATACATACGTACATACATTTATTATGTGATTACACACACACACACACACATATATATATATATATATATGTATATATATATAAATACATATATGCATA